AAAAAAAAAAAAATTACAGCCAGCCCGGGCCCTTTGACAGCGCAGCACCTGCTGGTGTTGGCATTCCAATTGGCTTCTCGTGGCCTGCGCAGCGTCAGTCAGCACGTATTAGCATATCATTGCTGCTAATAACGATAAAGTGACATGATGTATACGGGCTGGCGGGCATCGCACTGCCGGTGGCAATCTTGCGCGGGCGGTTCCGAAAGTTCTATACTATACGCAATGGTCAATAAAAACCTTTACCACGTTACTCCCTAGCATTGCCATTATAACTATATATTACGCAAGAGCAATGTCCCGTGGGTTTCTGCTTCAAAGGCGAGATTTTAACTATCATTCATTTTGTAATTTTTCGGTCTTTCATTTTTTATGATCAAGTTCACCTCATTTCTCTTCTCATCATATGAGAATAAATCCCTTCTCCGTCAAATCATGTTATATTAATCTCATTAACAGCTTCTGATCTTACGTTTCTGTCCGTTATTATGATCTGGGCATTTCAAAATAATAGAATCTGATCACTATACGGTATTCCAGATTGGTTCTCTCTCTCTCTCTCTCTCTCTCTCTCTCTCTCTCTCTCTCTCTCTCTCTCTCTCTCTCTCTCTCTCTCTCTCCTCCCCCCCCCACACACACACACACACACACACACATCAGACCAGACCAAGTTAACCGTAAACAATTTAAAACATTTCTTCTGAAGAATACAAAAAATATATAAATACCCAAACATATTACATCTCCGGCTTCCCCATTCCCGAGACGGGATGGGCCCCCGAGAAGACAAGGCCTTGTTTTTCGCGACGGCAAAATTCTCTCGGAGGGGCCGTTACGGGCTCAACAACAGCTCAAGATTTATTTCATGGGCCCAGGTAGACCCCTAATCCAGTCAGACGTACAGATCCCTGGGAGACTGTTTGTCTTACCCACAAACAATCCCTCACACCCTCGGCTTTCTGTCCTCCAGCTAGAGCAGTTTCAGGATACAACGTCTGGAGCTTTTTGGTGAGATTGTGTTTGCATGTTAACATTAATCGTTTCTTTCTTACGTTTCTTTTCTTATTTTCATTTCCTCATTTTTTTGTGGG